CACCGATTCGAGGGGAGGAAAATTAGACTGCCTCTGGTTTGGGGAGTGGCAGGGTCCCATCGTAGAAATGGGTGTGGGATGAGAGAGAACTGTTACTGCTGTCTTGGTAAATACAATCTGCTGTAGTCAACGGAAGGCAAAATAATAGACACAAGTGAGTTCTAATGTCCTTACCTTAAGGCTCTTTTCATTTTAAGCATCTAAATTATGGCAGCAACTACCTGGTGAGCCCAACGTACTCCTTTCTCAACTTTCCTTCATTTAGTTCTTTTTGCTTTTAGGCTGACCTCCTGAACACCAAGGCATTAATAGTCCTTTCAACTCGGAGTGACTCTGACTTCCTATTACATCAGGGTCAGAGTCCTTTTTTTTTTTTTTTAATATGTTCCTTTTACTGCAAGTTCACATCTTATGTATCCTATCTGTGTCTGTTTGCATCTTTCAGTATTTTATTGTATTTTTCTATGTTTCTGCCATTCTGCTGCACGCATCCTTCTTCCTACTTCTGTGTCGTTATCTGTGGTACTCCCATTTCCCAGGTTCTCTCTTCCCTTCTCTTTAAATTTTACTGATTTTTCAAAGCTGACGTTACAGCATGTGGACATCATGCAGTCTGCTCGCCCTGGCCTGTCTCGTGTCCCCAGGTGTTTCATCTGGGTTGGTGATTTCCCAGATGTCCCTCAGGAAAAGGACACTTCTGTCTCCCCAGAGTCCTATTTGTTGATTGACTGGTGGTGGGGGCTGTGAACATTTATTGAGTACTTACCGGCCAGGCTTTGCATGTATCAACTCACCTAACCCTCATGACAGCTTTAACCCTCATGACAGCTTTGTAAGGTAGATTCCGTTCTTATTTACTTAGGAAACTGAGGACCCAGAGGCTAAGTGAGAGCGGGCATGTGAGTCCAGAGCCCAGACAGGCAGGCCCAGAATGTAGTTGTTATCTCCTGCACTGGACTGCCTGGTGTATTCAAGAATAGTTGTATGAGGAGTGTATGATACTTCTAACAACATTTATTTAGATTTAGAATGTGTATTAACTTTGTGATACAGGATCGGCAGTTCGTTACAGTATGATTAACAACACGTTAATCCCTTGTTAAATCTTTTCATAAGCTTATTGAATATCAATTCAGTTTTATAGAGCCGGTAAATCTTAAGAATATTCTAAAATATTACTGACATAACCAGTTTTCAGTTACTTGTCCCCCCCGCCAATCATAGTTACTAGAGAAATGGAGCATGCTTCCTGCTAAGCTTCAATACCACCAGGTCCTCACTTATGAACAGGTTTATGTATGTTCATTTTAAGTTGGCTGTCTGGAACTTTGTTTCAGTGGGAGAATATATTAAACTTGGTGTTAAGGATCTTAGGACAGGCACAGTGAAATGTTTGATTTATATATGCAGTGATATTCGAATATTGGGCCTGTAAGAATGAAAAGGGGTATTTGTTCATTGGCATTCGCTGGTTCTATGTGGAACATTGTGTAAAGATGCTCACATGTTAACATCAGTTCTTATCTGGACATCAGGCTCACATCAGCCTTCTGTAGTAGTAGACACAGGAGCTTCCTCCCCTCACCCCTTTCTGTCCCTACCCCTCTTGCCACCAGCCTGACTGGAGGACTTCTTTGGCTCTGAACCACATGTTGAGCAGGTGTACTCCCTGTGAGCCTGTTGGCTGGGATCAAGGACAGGGGCTCCTGGGATTAGGGAATTGTGGAGGTAGAGGTTTTCCAGTCCCGCCCTTTCTGTTTTCTGGTAATCCCGAATCACACCTGCTTGCTGCTTTTGGCACTGCTTTGCTTGGTCTTACTGTGTGTTTGTGGTGTGTGAAACATAATACAGAAACAGTTCCTAAAATGTTTAGTGTATCAGGTAGCTGGTAAAGCAGACAGCCCTGTTACCCACTCCAGAAGTGGAGCCTCCCTGGAACTCAGGAGCTCCCAGCATGCTCCGTCCCAGCATGGCTCCTTCCTGCCCTCTGCTGGGGGTCACCACCTTTCCCTTACAGTGATTTCCTTTTATGGAGAGAATGTCTTGCTTTTCCGTATAATTTTATCACCTAACAGTATATCCCCAAACAAAGTTTTACCTCCTTTTAAACTTTACCTAAATGAAATCACACTGATTGTGTTCGTTTGTATCTTGCCTCTTTTGTTCAATGTATTTTAAGATTCATTCATGTTACCACATATAGATGCCACCTCATTCATTTTTGTTGCTGTGTGATTGGTATTCTGTCATATTCGTTTGCTAGGGCTGCCGTAACAAATACCAAAGATTGGGTGGCTTAAACAACAGAAGTTAATTTTCTCACAGTACTGGAAGCTAGAAGCATAAGACGAAGCTGTAGGCAGGGTGGTTGCACTCTGGGGTCTCTCTCCTTGGTCTGTAGGTGGCCGTCTTGTCCCGTAGTCTTCATGTGGTCTTCCTCTTAGGGGTATTTGTATCCTAATAGCTGCTTCTTGTAAGGACACCAGTCATGTTGGGTTAGAGCCCACCCATATGAGCTCATTTTACCTTAATTACCTCTCCTGTCTCTAAATACAGTCACATTCTGAAGTACTGGGGGTTAGGAGTTGCCTAAAAATTTTGAGGGACATGGTTTAACCCATACCATCTATTATATGATTATATCAAAATGTATCCATCATATTATTTGGTGGACTTTTTAGTTATTTCTTGCTTTAGGCTATTATGAGCAGTACTATTGTGAACATTTTCATACATGTATAGTGGTAAGCATGCCAGAATGGAGCATTCCATCCTAGGAGTGAATTGCTAGGTAGTGCTGCACGGCTGCAGTATTAGATGAATTCAGTGTGTCTTCCAAAGTGCTTGTGTTGCAGGATCCTTGGTGGCGCCTTTGCTGGAGTTTTGCTTGAGCCCAGCGTTCCGCCCACTTGCCCTGGCAGGCTGTGCTTGGCTAGAGCTACCGGCCCTGATTCCACGCCGGCCAAGGGCAAGCCAGGCACAGAGCGGTGAGGGGTACGTGAACACGCAAGCACTGGGGTCTGCCCACTGTGCGTAGCCAGGCACTCTGGCTCTTGGGTAGTCTTTTTCTTGCTGATTTTTAGGAATTCCTGAAATATTCTTGATACAAGTCTTTGGTTGCTTATGTATGTTACAGATATCTTCTCAAACTCTGTAACATCTGTTTTCACTGTGTTGACAGGATCTTTTTGATGAATAGAAGTTCCTCATTTTAATGTGGTCAGTTTATCAGTCTTTTCCTAGTTGATTTTTTGAAATATATGTCTTGAGAATGCTTCCCTGAGGTCATTCAGATATTCTTCTATGTTATCTTATAAAATACTTACAACTTTACGTTTAGATGTAATATATCTGGCACTGATTTTTGGGTACAGTATGATGTAGGACCTGATTTCATTTTTTTTCGCTGTGGATAGTCAGCTGTTCTTGCATCATTAATTGAAAAGACACTCCTTCCCCTCGCGGCCTGAACCGCTTTGTCATAAATTAAGTGTCTATAGTTCTGCTTCGGTCTGCTGCTGGGCACCCCGTTCTGTACTGTTGATCTATCTGTCTCTTTCCACAAGAGCGTCAATCTGCTTTGAGTCCTATACCTTTGTAGTAAGTCTTGAAATCTGATAGAGCAATGCTTTCCACTTTGCTGTTGCTCTTCCAGAGCATCTTGGTTGTTCTTGGTTCTTTCCATTTCTGTGGGCATTTTGGTATCTGCCCATTAGTTTCTACAGAGAGACCTTTTAGGAGGATCTTTATTGGAATGTGTTGGCTGTATAAGATCATTTGGGGGAGAATTGTCAATTTCATGAAAGACAAAACAAAATGAACCAAAAAGTAAACACTGGGAAACTGTTTTAGATGAAAGAAGATGAATGAGACATGGTAACCGAATGCCATGTGTTATGGTTTGTAAAAGTTATAAAGGCTTGGGACAAATGGGGAGACTTTGCTTTGAATTGTGTATTAGACACTAATGTTCCAGTATGAAATCTCCTGATAAGGGTGAGAAATGTTATGTCTACCTTTTTTCTTAGGAGATACATGTTGGGGAATTTAAGCTGAAGTGTTGTGATGCCTACAGCTAGCGCTCAATTCAAAAAGTTGAGGAAGGAGAGATGAGGAGGCAGCTAGAGTGATAATGGCAAAATGTTAGCAATTGGTGAATCTCAGTGAAAGGCAAATGGGTATTCATTGATTTTCTTTTTCTGTAGATTTAGCATTTTTCAAAATAAAAGTAGAAGAGAATTAAATTTCGTTTTGTATCTCAGGAAATAGTAGAGTGCCAGATAAACTAGTAATGCTTTATCTTAGTGTGCTGTGCTAAGCATATTTGCTACTAAAAGCACTACTGAAATGTCAAGCGTGATTGGTTATTTTAAAAATTCTGAGTATGTTTGAACTTATTCAGTTCACATTTAAATCATACTGGAACAGCACATGTCTGTGGGCTGGCTCTCCAAGTAAAAAATACATTAATGAGCTTTTTGTGCCAATTACTGATTTTCAGGAAATGTTCTTTAAACTACTGATAAGAGTTCTGGAGATCCATGTCATACTAACAGGTGAACAAAGTAATTCATAGGAGTTACACTTGATGCAGTCTAATTTTCTAACACCAGGCTAAGTTTTGTTTTGTTTTTTTTTTTTGAGAAGCGTTTCCGGTGCCTGAAAACTGATATTTATATTTTTCGTGAAGGATCTGAGATTCTTTGTTCTCATAGTAGATATCGTCACAGTCTATAAAGAAAACCCAGGTGGTTTTTGTTTTTGTTTTTGATTTTTGTTTTTTGTTTTTTTCAATTTTTAGTTACTGCTACAGAGGCACATAGGAATTTAAATGATTCCATGAGTCATGCAGTGAATTGGTAATAATACTAATGGATACACAGTTATTGACTCTTCTTTGCATTGGCCTCATTTTTCCCCCTGAATGTTAATATGTCATTTCTCAGCAAAATTATTTGTAAAGTAAAACATCTAACAACACCACCAAAATCTTGTAACAGCAAAAGGAAGAGCCGAGCTTCTGAAGATCAACCTTCGTGAGGTCGAATTAGATCCTGATATTCAACTGGAAGATATAGCCGAGAAGATTGAGGGCTATTCTGGTGCTGACATCACTAATGTTTGCAGGTATTTTTTTAATGATCTGTGATGTTAGACATTAGTTATAGACTTGGCAGGAGGACTAGTCTTAAAGTCAGTGTAGTTAACCCAGTGTAGTTAGACATGAAAGCAGCTACCCGTTTCTTTGAAATAGTTTCCCATTTGTCCTTTTTTTTTTTTTCCATATAACTTTTTTCTTCATTGTGAGATGAAAATTATATAGCATTGGTCACTGATGTTTTTGATCTTTGGATTTTTAAGAAATTGTTGTGTCGGTGGCTCGCGCCTGTAAGCCCAGCACTTTGGGAGACTGAGGCAGGCAGATCACGAGGTCAGGAGGTCGAGACTATCTTGGCTAACACAGTGAAATCCCGTCTCTACTAAAAAT